GACGTCCCCCCCTGCGGTGACCCGCCCCATCAGCCCAAGTGGAGGAAGGCAGCAGGACTGCAAGTGATGATCTGTGGAAGGTGGGACTGTGGAGGCTCTGAGGGCCGCTGCTAACAGCCCCGCGGCTTGGGGGCTGGGACAGGAACCCTCTAGAGGCGGAAGTCCCAGATCAAGCTCTCAGCAGGGTGGTTCCTTCCACGGCTGCAGGTCCAGAACTGGTCCAGGCCCCTCTTCCTCAGCTTCCAATGATCTTCAAGCATCTTTGTGGAAACACCAGCCCGACCCCCGACCTCCTCTTCGGTGGCATCTCCCTGTGTGCAAGTCCCCCCTTGCCGAAGGACACGGCTTACATTGGATGAGGGGCTGTCCATACTCCAGTGGGACCTCCTCTTACCTGGTTACACTGGCATCAACCCTGTTTCCAAATGAGGTCACACTCGGAAGTGCAGAGGGCTGGAAATTCAACAAATGAGTATGATTCTGCTCCTGCAGCTAGGGGAAGACACCTTTAAGTAAGTGACATTTGAGCAAAACACCTAACTAAAGTGAGGGAGTGAGCCATGCAGAGGCCTGAGGGAATGGCATTCCAGGGGGAGAAAACAGCAAACGTGGAGGTTCTGGGAAGAAGCGCAGATTGGCTAACGGAGCATAATGGAGCAGTAAGAGGGTCATTACTGTGTCGGGGGGGGGGGGGGGGGGGGGGGGGGGGGGGGGGGGGGGGGGGGGGGGGGGGGGGGGGGGGGGGGGGGGGGGCGCGGGAGAGATGAAGTAAGAAGCAGAACGATTCATTGATAGGAAATCCATCAACTATGAGTCATAAAATTAACAGAATTAAAAGCAAAAAAAAACCAAACAAACAAACCTGTAAATTTACAGAGAGCAAGAACAACAACAGTAGACTTTCCCAAACAAGCTCGAAGGTATAAACAGACTAAATTTTCCTTTTATGATGAAGGAGAGCAGTTCTGGGACAGAAGTAGATGCGTCATGTCAATGGTGTGTTGTAAAGGCATTTCCGTTATCAGAACTCTGTGGTTCAACATCGATTATTGGAGTCCAGCTAAAGCGATAAGAAAAGGAAATGATCAACGTACTCAGCACTGTTTGCAGAAAGTATGTTCCCCACCCCCCCCCCCAATGCCCCAAATGAGGCATTTTCAAACTAGAAGAATGGAATCAGCTGCCTTCGACACCCTGTTCTCATAGGCTGGAGTCCACCGTTTGTGCTGTCGTCGGGGCTACAGAGCGTGGCTGACCCCCGGCCTCAGCAGCACCGCACACCCCCTGCTCTCTGCTCTGGGCTCTCGGCCGCCCGCCTCCACCGCCAGCCTGGCCAAGATGCTCCTGGAACCCAACCCAGCTGGCAGTGTGCGAACCTGGAAGAGGGAGGGAGTGAGCAGTCAGCCGGGACAATGAGGAATGGATGTCAGCAGGCACATTGCCCCTCGTTACCGCACACCAGGGGACAATGCTGAGGTGGGACGCACACTCTCCCCAGAGCACACCATCCGCAGAGCACACTGTCCCCCATTCCCAAACACACTCTTCCCAGAGCACACTGTCCCCAGTGCACACCATCCCCAGACCACACAGTCCCCAGTGCACACCGTCCCCCGGAACACACCATCCTCGGGAGCACACCGTCCCCGGAGCACACCATCCCCCAGAGCACACCATTCCCAGAGCACACCGTCCCCAGAGCACACCGTCCCCAGAGCACACCGTCCCCCAGAGCACACCATTCCCAGAGCACACCGTCCCCAGAGCACACCGTCCCCCAGAGCACACCATCCCCCAGAGCACACCATCCCCAGACCACACCATCCCCAGTGCACACCATCCCCCAGAGAACACCGACCCCAGTGCACACCGTCCCCAGAGCACACCATCCCCAGAGCACACTGTCCCCAGGGCACACCGTCCCCCAGAGCATTCCTGGTAAGTCAAGTACACCCTCTGGCATGGGATCTCCCCCGCTTCCCTGTTTTTCCATTCCAGGGTCCCTATTCCTGATCTCCAAGGTCACTTCCAGAAATAAACCATTTGCCCAAAAGACCATGTCCCATGTCATAGATTCTGCTTTGGAGAGGACCCGAATTAAGAGAAGTGACCCTAAGTAGCCGACCTTCAGGGTAGGACTCTAAGATAGACCACACAGCCTCACACCCCACTGAAAGGACCGTACTCCTGGTGGTGAGCGAGCTGGTGATGAGCCTTGTGCCTGTAGCACAGTGACAGTGACTCACAGGGTCGGATTAGGGTGTGGCGCAGGAGTCGCAGGGAAGGCAAAGCATGGCTCTTTGTGGTAGGGGTAGGGTTAGCGGACTTTCCTTAATGGCATTAAAAGCCTCAAAAAATACTAATGACAGGCCCCAATTAGCCAACTATCAATTTAGCGTACTCTGAAAGACAGATCCTGCAGGCACAGGGCATTTTAGGATGAAAACCAGGCCCAGGATTCCCTGCAACTCATGATGGTGTTACTTCTCTCTTCCAGTCACGTATTTAATCCCCTGTTCAGCCAACAATGGTGTTTTATGGCAATCAAAACAGCAAATCATCGTATTGTCTATTTCTATCATATTGTCTATGTCTTACCTGACCATACTTTAATTTTTTTTTTTAACGTTTATTTTTCAGAGAGACAGAGTGTGAGCAGGGGAGAGGCAAAGAGAGAGGGAGACACAGAATCTGAAGCAGCTCCAGGCTCCTAGCTGTCAGCACAGAGCCCAACTCGGGGCTCGAACCAGTGAGCCATGAGATCATGACCTGAGCTGAAGACGGACGCTCAACCGACTGAGCCCCCAAGCACCCCTACTTGACCACACTTCGTAGTCTCTTGTTCCTTGCTCAAAATTTTAAGCTTATTTTTTTCTTTCTTTAAACACGTGGAATATACTTATCTCATCTCTCTGATACGCCAGTTCCTGCAGTTTTCCAGACATGGTTTTGTTGTCTGAGTTTCCAACGACTGTCACTCACGGTGTTTTTTCCTTGTGTGTTTTGTGGCTTTTCAGCAGCGAGTTGCCTCTATTCTCCGAAAAGCTCTCTGTGGGACACTGTTGAAGCCTGCCTGGAACTTGCATCCCTGCAATGAATATTTGCAATTATCGTTTTTATTTATTTTTTATTTTTTTATTTTTATTTTTTTTAATTTTTATTTATTTCTAGGGGGGAGAGAGAGAGACAGCGTGAGCAGGGGAGGGTCAGAGAGAGAGGGAGACACAGACTCCGAAACAGTCTCCAGGCTCTGAGCTGGCAGTCAGCACAGAGCCCGACGCAGGGCTCGAACCCACGAACCGTGAGATCATGACCTGAGCAAAAGTCGGACGCTTAACCGACTAAGCCACCCAGGCGCCCCACACAGTTATCATTTTTAAAGATGCATTTTTACTTTTGTTACTTTGCAGTCAGAGAATGTCTCATAAGCTTTCCCTGTTTAGAAATGGAGTGTCTGTTATGTTCCATAAATAATTAACATCATAGGTCAAGGATGCTCTGTGCACTGTTGATAGAAAAGCATGTTCTGTGACCACACACACCAGTGTGAAAACGTACCCCGCTGTCACTTAAACATCATCTCTGAGCCTCTGCTGCCAGGGAGTAAATGCTCCGTCAGAACTGGGGCCCTGTCCCGCTCCCTGCTGGGCTGCCCCAGGATGACTGAGGTCAGTGGCACCCCCACACGGGGAAAGCAGAGGTATCTCCACTTTCAGGCCAGGCCTGCAGGGCCCCTCAAGTCCTAAGGCATCTGTCTGTGCCTGAGGCACAAGGTGGACGCCCGGGACTTTCTGGCAGCCCCCACTGTCCCACACCAGCCTTTCCCCTCTGAAATCAAGGAATAGCAAGAGGGCTGCGCGTGTGTAGAGCAGAAGCCGGAGAGAGACTGGCAGCAGCGGGGTCAGGCCTGGAGGACCCTCTGTAACCAGGGTGACCCCAAAGCCCTGCTACCAAGGACCCCACCAGTTGATGCTTGCTGTCAGGTGGATGGGTGCACACTTTCATTTTCAAAAGTGACCAGTCGTGTTTTTTTAATGTTTACTTATTTTTAAGAGACAGACAGACGGACAAAGACAGAGACAGAGGATGAATAGGGGAGGGGCAGAGAGAGAGGGAGACACAGAATCTGAAGCAGCTCCAGGCTCTGAGTTGTCAGCACAGAGCCCGACTCAGGGCTGGAACCCACGAACTGCGAGATCATGACCTGAGAGGACATCTGACGCTTAACGGACTGAGCCCCCCAGGCGCCCCCAGAAGGGACCAGTTTTGACGGGTGAGTTGTGTGGTCACTCTTACTCAGGAGGGCATGAGAGAAAGCCAGGGAAGGTTTGGGTGCGGGAGGAAAACGGGGTTACATTTTACAAAGTTCACTTGGGCGTTGCTCATCCACAAGGGAGCCTGGGCGGACTGGAGTAGAGGCGGGGGCCCAGGCACCTCCGGCACAGAAGGGGGGGCCCAGGAGTCACTCGGGACCTTCAGTCTGAAGCTCCTTCCGAGTTTCCCCTTCTCTGGGGTCCTTCTGGCCTGGGGAGGGGCCCCAGCTGCGCAGCCCGGCCAGGCCTGGCCTAGAACGAGGCCGGCCTGGCTTCTGGCCACGGGGCTGGCTCCGAAATGGTGGAGAAATCCCCGCGCTTCCCGGGTAGACAGGGAAGGGATCAGGTTACTTTCTAGTCCCCCGGACACAAGGGGCTCTTCTTGGAAAGGGGGAGCAGAGGCCAGGGACTGTCGGAGGGGCCCCAGCTTGCGTCGAGTTGGGGCACGGGGGAGAGGCCGGGCAGGGCCTGGCGGCCCGGGGACCCGCCGTCAGCGGGGTGGGGGGGGGAAGGGGAGGCTTGGGACGTGGAGCCGGGGGGGGGGGGGGGGGGGGGGGGCCCCCCCCCCCCCCGTCTGGGTCGCTACTTATCCGGCCCGCGGCTCCGAGCGCGCGGCGACGCCCACCCCTGCCCCGCGGCCCCGCCCCCCGCCCCCGCCTCCGCGCGCCATTCCGCGCCGTCCTCCGGCCGCGCGCCCCGCCAGCCGCGCCTCGGCCATGGCGGGCCTGGGGCCGCGACCCGCCAAGGGCTACCGGGTGGTGCTGCTCGGGAGCGCGGCCGTGGGCAAGACGGCGCTGGCCACGCAGTTCGCGTGCGGCAGCTTCCCGGAGCGGTGCGAGCCGTCGGTGGAGGAGCTCTTCAGCAAGGTGATCGAGGTGAACGCGGCGCCCGCGCTGCTGGAGATCGTGGACACGGTGGGCGCCGCGCACCTGGTCACCCTCACGGACCTGTACATCAGGAACAGCGACGGCTTCGTGGTGCTCTACAGCGTGTGCAGCGAGGCGTCGTTCGAGGCGGTGCGGCCGCTGCGGGAGCGCATGCGCCGGCTGCGCGGGCCCAGGGCCGCGCCGCTCGTGCTCGTGGGCACCAAGGCCGACCTGGACGCCGAGCGCCAGGTGCTGACGGCGCGCGGCCGCGCGCTGGCCCGCGAGTGGCGGTGCCCGTTCCTGGAGGTCACGGCCAAGAGCAAACTGATGGTGGACCAGGTGTTCACGCAGGTGGTGCGCGAGATGGAGGCCTGGGCCCCGCCCGCGGAGCAGGCCCCGGCGCCGCCCGCCGGCGCCCAGGGTGCGTGGCCCTCGGAGAGGTTCATCGGCTGACGTGCAGCGGAGACGCTGTAGTGTGTGCGGCGCTTTCTCTCACGCCTGAGGCCCGGCCCTCCTTCCCTGCCCTCTTAGAGAAGACGAGTGATGATGACTTCGGTGCGGGAACTCAACCCAGCGCTCCCCGCCGCTTGCCTGAAAACTCTGTACCTCTCGCGGGGCTTTAGGAAACCAAAAGTCCATACCGCTCTCCTGGATGGAGAGAGTACCAGCCTTTTCTTCAAATGGGATTTGTTACAAGATTTTTACCCCCCTTTTTGATAATGCCATCAAATGCACGAGACCTTTGAAATTGGGGAACGTGAACTATAAAGACTTTAAAAAGCCTTGGATCCTGGGAGGTTTTCATGTGTTTCTCTCTCATCTGCAGCCTTGAATTGCAGCGGTAATATTTTCCTCTCTGCCTATTTCTAAATATAGTTATGACACACACAGCCTTGGTTGAAAGGCGCACTTTATACCCTGGGAGGGCAGCACATAACCGCTCGCACACCGATAGCTCAGCCCGCCTCCAGCGCTCTAACTGACGTCGAGTCCGTTTTGCATCTGTAAACTGAGTGAAAATAAAGTGATTTTAAAAGGTGATACTTTTAAATATCTGCCTCTCTGATACTTAAAGCTGAGATTCCTACAGTTTCCGCGCACGGTCTCTGCTCTTAAGCTATTTCCCGGGAAGCATGTTAGGAACCAGAGGGAAAATGGCCGCATCTGGTATGTATTTCTTGGTGCCAGATTAGGTGTATTTTGTCTGATACCTTCGCCGTTTACAGTGACAAGGGGACTCCAGTAGAAACAAACCGTGTATGAATCTTTTTGTGTAGCTTTCACATAACGAGGCAAGAAGACTTTCTTGCACTGGTTTAAAAATATGGTTTTATAATGTGAAGAATTTGCCTGTGGTATGAGTTGCATGTGCTTTATTTTCACATGGAAACAGCAAGCTTTTCAAATTTAGGAACGTAGCCTTACCACTTAAACGTCCTTCTAAAAGAAGTTAACAAGAAAAACAAAATTAAAGAAATACACAAGAATGCTCAAAACTATGCCAGGGATCTGAAGAAGTTCACTTGCTTACAGGGAACTTATCTGCACAGTGATGGTTATACAAGCTCTGGGAGCTTTACTGATACCGTATGTGATGGGGGAACAGAAGGATGGATTGTATTTAACAGAAAAAGTGTAAGTATTTTAGACCCTGACAGTGCCTGACAGCCAGTTCACCAGGGGAGAGGGCCAGGCTGGGTGACACCTGTCTTTCATCTTGTCCTCTCTTCCTGGGACGTGGCCGGGGGGGGGGGGGGGGGGGGGGGGGGGGGGTGTCACGCGAGGCAGGGGGTTGGGCACTTACTAGTGAAGCTTGAGGTCCAGCCTACTTACTCCCTCCTCTGACCCTCTGTGTTCCGGGCCACTCCTGGCTGAGTTTCCTCACACCCCCATCTAGGACATTTCAAACACGGGGCGGGGGGGGGGGGCCTGCAGGGTGGTGGTGGGGGGAGTACCTTCCTGATCTCAGGTGTCTTTGCCCAAAGCTGCCCCCTCCTGTGTCTGAACAGAGGCAAAACCCCAAGGCTTTCTGGACTGGATGTTGAGCTGTGCAGAGAAAGCACACGGGCGTGCACGGTGTCCCGTTCCCAGCCATGAAAGCAGGGCCCCGCGGACTGCAAGCTGAGTGGCCCCTGGGCCTGCCTGCCCCGCACCCCGCCAGCCCTGTCTTTCTGACCTGCTTGCACTGAGGCCTCCTGGGAGGTCTTGTGTCCCTGGATCCCTGTGCCTCTGGATAATCGGTTCGATCCAGGAAAAAATTCACAAGTAGCCAATTCTTCGTTTAGATTCCTAGGACCTCCTCAGAGCCTCTCACTCAGATCTACATTTGGGCCCAGAACCCGGGGTGTTCCTTGCTGACTGGTGAACACGACAAATGGTCAGGCCTAGGACCTCTGGTATACGTTTGAAGCCGTTCTCTGGGTGTGTACACACACACACGCACGCACACACGCACACACGCACACACGCACACAAATACATGTAAAATTCAAGACCTACACACTCAATTTTCTTCCTCTTCAAACATTTCACATTTCTAACTGACATATGTTACACACAGTTGCCTGGAGTCCCTCTGGAGTCAAGTGCGGCCTGACTAAAGTGACCCTGAAGCAGCAGATGTGACTGCTTGCCGTGGTCCCTGAAAGCACTGCCTGGTGGGGGACATGAACTGGGTGGCCTGAGTCACCAGCCTGCAGATGGTGTTGCCATCTCAGGTCATTCACAGCTGGGCCCTGGGCCGGGGGCGACGCATGCTCAGCCCGACTAGGGAACGAGCCTAACTGGGGAACGTGACGCTGATTTCCCAAGTGGCTGTGACCTTCCCAAACCCTCGAGCCTCTGGTGCTCCCAAGTGGCCCGCAGCTCAGAGGATGTGCAGATTCCCTTCTGGCCCGTGCATTGTGGTTTCAGTTTGTATCGTTCGGATTGCTGGTGACGCTGAGAATTCTTCTGGAGGGTTTCAAACGACATTTGATCTCCTCTTCAGTGAAATGCCTGTTCTTTTCGTCGGCTTTTAAAATTCTGTGATCTGTCCGTTTCTTCTTGGTTCTTGGAGGCTTTACCTACCCCGGGGCGGGCAGCCTCTGAGATTCCTCCGATGAGCCCACCTCCCGGAACGCAGCCCGTGTGATTGCCTCCCCTCGAGAGGGTGGGCAGGACCTAGTGACCCCCTTCTAGGGAATAGAACAGGACAACAGTGATGGGAATGTCACTTCTGAGATTAAATTACAAAACCGCTGACTCCTGTCCCGCTCAGGCTCCGTCAGAGCCCTTGCTCTGGGACAAGCTGCCGTGTGGTGACGAGCCTGGTGGAGAGGGACATGTGGCAAGGGACTAATGTCCCGGCCAGCAGCCGACGACGACCTGAGACCTAGCTGCAGCTCCTGAGAGAGCTCGGGAGGGGACCCTTTCCCAGATGAGCCCAGAGATGAGGGCGGCCCCTGCCAGCCCCTCCCCACGGCCCGCGAGGGAGCCCGAGCAGAGCCCCGGCTGAGCCGCGGAGGCTCCTGACCCACGACACCGTGAGATGGTGTGTACTGTTTTACACCAAGACTTTTAAGGCAATTTGTTCCGCAGCTACGGATCGCTGCTGCAGCTCTCTGGTGGCCGGACCAGGCTGCTGACGTCTGAATACCCGAACCAGGCCGCGGGCAGAGCCGGCTGGGATTCGGAGGAGGGTTAGGGGAGCACTGCAGCACCCCGCACGAGAGCTGGGCTTTGAGGACCCTGCCCGTGAGGGCGCACAGGAAGCGAGGGACGGGGGTCCTTGTGACGTCCACCGTGTCACCCGCAGTGGTGTGGGGACTGAACCGTGTACTTGCTGCAATCCAGGAGCCACTCGGTAGATTTCCAGGCAGGCAGCGTGCAGACGACGCCACCTGGCCTCTCCCTGCGGCTTATGGTTCGACGTAAGCAGAGACAGACTGAAGGCACTTGGGAAACTAAAAGGAACCGGTACCTCATAGTTGTGAAAATTCGGTTTCTCCAAATGGCAAAAGATGGTAATGTTAAGAAATGACTTCCCAGGGAATATCAAATCCAGGAGAATTGATCTAAAACTGAAGCCAGGGGCGCCTGGGGGTCTCAGTCAGTTAAGCGTACAGCTTCAGCTCAGGTCGGGATCTCACAATTCGTGAGTTCGAGTCCCACGTCGGGCTCTGTGCTGACAGCTCAGAGCCTGGAGCCTGCTTCGGATTCTGTGTCTCCCTCTCTCTCTTCTCCTCTCCCGCTCACGCTCTGTCTCTCTCTCTCTCTCAAAAATAAACATTAAAAAAAATTTCATATAAAAATAAAGCCAAAGGTGTGACTGTGAAGCCTTTTGTCAAGACCTCAGAAGGATCAGAGGTCCTCAGAGTACTGTTCAGTCACATGATGGGCCTGTTAAAAAGATGAAGGTGTACCCCACAAATCCTCTCCCTCAAGGATAGAGCCTCTGGGGAACCTCAACATTGCCCCTCAGCCATCTCAGGAGGAGCCCAACAGAGACCAGGGTTCACCTCAAAGACCTTTCTTCGTGTGCCTTCTTGCTAATGGAGTGAACCCAGTTCCCAAGCAGATTTGTGGGTGTATCTTTTCTATTACAGAGGTAATCCCAAATCCCAGGAGAGCCACAAAGTTTTCGAGAAAAAGTACATCAGTAAAAACACTACCCATCTGGACTAAAAAAGGACAGAGCCATTCAAAATGAAAAGAGACTTTGGATACCCACACCCCCCACTCTGCACGATTTTACTGGAAGGAAGAAGGCTGAGAAAACTGCTTGCTTGCAAACATGTGCTTTCATTTAAAAAAAGGGAGTGGATGGCTCAGAGGGCAGAGTAAAGATGTCAGAGGATAGAGCTCAAAGCAGCGGACGATTATTTCTAGGACATGAGACCTAATCTGGGGCACCCGTGTGGCTCAGTTGGTTAAGCATCTGAGTCTTGGTGTTCAGCTCAGGTCATGATCCTGTGGTTCTCGGTATCAAGTCCTGTATCTGGCTCTGCACTGACAGCATGGAGACCTCTTGGGATTCTCTTTCTCTGCCCCTCCCACACTTACCCATTCTCTCTTTCAAGATAAATGAATAAACTTAAAAAAAAAGACGTAATCAAAGAATTTCTTGGCTGGCTTTCACAGTTGCTGTGGACCAGGGACTCCTTTGTGTTCCTCGCTGCCCCGCTCCGGGCAGGAGAGTAGGGAGTGGTTTACCCCACATCAGGTCTACGACTGAAAACTGGCATGTGCGGCAGGGGAGAGCTAGCCAACCTGGACCTATGCACCAAGAGAAACTGTGTTTGAGGAATGGCCCTGGAAGGTCTCATCCTCACCTAGACTTGATTTCAATGACAAGACTGTGAAGTTTAAGATGACCAAACACAGAAGATTACATTCCTCCATTTTGTACTCTTAAACCAACCTTGCATTCCTGAGATAAAGTCCAATTGGCTGTTATTTGATATAATTTCTGCATTGATGAATTGACTTTGCTAAGATTTTATTCCATATTTTTGCATCTTTGTTCATGAATGAGACTTGCCTGTACATTTTTTCTTATACTGCCCTTGTTTGCATTTGGTAGCAATTGGCTAACACACACACACACACACACACACACACACACACACATCTACTGGGGGAGTAGTCCTTTTAATATTCTCTGGGTGGTTCCGTGTAAGATTGGAATTATCTGTTCTTTCCACATTTGGTAGATATCTTGAAAACACTTTATTTTGGAAAAAAAAATTAATGTCTTTAATGGTTATAGGTTTTAAACTTCCTTCTTAATTTAGTTTCCTGGTTTCCACTCTAGGGACCTAAATCCTGTCTTTTCAAATAAATCTATAAAATTATTAGAAACAGGGATGCCTGTGTGGCTCTGTTGGTTAAGCCTCTGACTCTTGATTTCAGCTCAGGCCATGATCTCACTGTTTGTGGATGGAGCCCCACATCAGGCTCTGTGATGACAGCATGGAGTCTGCTTGGGATTCTCTCTCTCCCTCCTTCTCTGCCCCTCCCCTGCTTGCACATGTTCTCTCTCTCACGTGCG